GCAAAACTTGCAAATAATATCGCACGACGGTTGGAACAAATCCCAGTGATGGCCGTTGATGTGGAAACCTAGTTGAACTCTTTAAAAGCGACTTAACTGGGGCTGCCGCCATGTAGTGCGGTTTGAAACGTGTTAGTCTGCCACCTGTGAATGAAAAACGAACTTCCAGGATGACAGCTGAAGTTCAAGTGGCTATCAACGAGAAGAAGTCTGCGTTCGAGACGTGGCTTGACCTCAGCGACTCTTAAACTCGAATTCACTTCGAAGAAGCGCCTAAGGCGGCAGAAAAATCCGATTTCTCCTTGGAAAGGTTCGGTGATGCTGGAGTCGAATCTGAAGGGGGCAGGACTGTCTGAGAGTCCTGAATGACAAGTCCATATTGTTTCTTTCCCAGGTAGGTGATACACTTCAGCGATGGAAAGAGTTCTTTGAGCAACTCCTTAACTCAGAGTAACCTAGGATGCCTCACGTGAGGCAAGGGATATTGGTCTTTTATTATCGTAAAATTGTCAGTTCATTTCGTTAAATTATCTTCTTTCCTGTGAAAGCATTTTTGGACTGACGCTAGGTAAGCGCGTGTCTGTATGACGCCGGGCAAGGCCGACAAGCGTAATGTATGGAATTCATTACTTTTATTGATCCTAATGCATTCCCTTTAACATCAAAGTTTCACGGGCGAGTTAATGGCCTATTGAACTGCGGTATAGCGACATGGTAGCGGAGAGAAGCTGTCGTGATATCCATCCGAGTGCGGAACCATAAGTCTACTGATGGCAAAGGGCGATCGCCCGAACAAGCCTTTCTGGTCGCAATTATGTTAAAATTCATTCTGTTTTGTCACATTACAGTAGAAGCTACTGAAATATTCTTATCCTTGACTCTCAAGCGAGAAACGAGCTTTGTTGGACGTACTTGTGCTTTATGGATATTTTGTTTTTTAACCGTTTCTATTTTTAAACGATGAATCACTTTGCATCAGTATTGTTCAGGTCATTTAAATTTTTCTATAACTTATTCGTGTATCTTAGGTTATCCGAAGAAAAGTTTTGGCGAAACTATTTCTATCGCGTGTCACTGATTAAGAAGAACGTCGATAACAAAGGTATTAAGCTGGCACTTACCTAAATGCTTGCCGCTGTCTGTGAAATCTTTCTTATCGGCAGCATTGTCAAGGACAGAGAAATATTAGAGTAGGATATCACATGCCATGTTGAGTTTAGTTCAGCCTATTTATGAGTGATGAGGTATGACTGAACCTACTGTTTCAAGTCGCGAAGATTTATTGTGAACCTGGAAGTGGTCGACAAACTACGCATTGGTGACCCAGGGTATAGCAAACCTTCTTATAACTACTTTAGCTCGAATTTGTTCTGAAGTGAAGGTATTTTGGCTACGGGGTTAAGCACCATCGTAGTTCAAATCAAAAATTTACAGTGAATTCATTTCATCTTGCTCTTTACCGTCTCAGCCAAAGACGACCAATTTTGTGTCTAGAGCAGAGGAAAGTTAGCTGTACAGTGGACGGAACTGACCTGATCCTAACGTTACGCAAACCGGTTTTTGCTCTTAATTGGTTGGTACCGTCGCTAGATATGGTGGAAGCGAAGTACTTAAGCTCAACTACATTTTCTACCAATTTACCACCTCCTTGTACATGCGGATCAGTTATCATATATGATATATCAGTTATGATATATCGTCCCCTTGCATATGCCACATGCGGATCTTACAGATTCACAGTTCCGACAGTATAGTTACAAGTACTGATCCTCCAGAAATCTGTTTGGCAAAATTTTGTTCTGTGCTTCTTCTGTTCTTAGCCGTGACTGTCGCAGTGTTATTTGTTGATTTTTGTATGGCTATGCTGTATTTCTTATATTTGTTTCATAGGTATCCTTTTGAAAATGTTGAGATCCTCTTTGTGATTCATCTGCGAAATAATCTAGCTGTAATGTATTCGATTTTATTGTTGTCGTTTTTAAGCTTAAGGCTTTTGTTGATTTCAGTAAAGGAGTTGGCGAACAGAAAGGATGCTGAAACTGAATCGAACACCACCGCCGGGCAAGCATACCCGTCTACTTCCCATATCACAGCGAACCAAGAGGTTCGTTTGTCTTCTGAACCGACGGCACAAGCACCCGCACAAAAGACATGCAAGCCTGAACAAGATGTGGATGAGGCTGATGGAGGTAGTGCGAAGCCTTTTTATTTGCAACGATTGATATTTTCTCACGGAAATAATTTTAACACGGCGTGGTTTCCCTTAATATGATGTATTGTCCTTTTGATACGTATTTAGCAGCTGCCGTTTTTGACATTTACTGGCCATCTGCCGTGACGGCAAACTTACTTATGTGTTTCTTTTGATCACCACCTTTGGCACTTTACACTAACGGTTATGGCTCTGGTTATGATGTCGTCCTACTTTTTACCTTTTCAGCATCTTTAGCACGAGGCAACGACTGAAGCGTTATACCAAAAAAATTTCTCGAAATCTGCCTGTCTTGTTCAGTCATGTTGCATCCTGGTCTCCTAGTCGACAGCGCCTTGTTTTGGTTTGCACACGAGACTCTCGAGGGCTGGAGTGAAGAACGATGTTCACTAAGGCGAAGGCCAATAGTCTGACAGCACGGACGACTTGTTCCTTCTTTTCAGTTAAACTGTAAATACCTCGTCCGGCGAAAAATAGCCAAACCTTACTTAGCCGTTCCGTTTGACCTTCATTGCACATCAAAGCCAGAGCTGTTGTGCGCGATTCACTTATATTTCTTATTCTCCCGTCAAAACTACGGTCTCTATGTCGTATATCAACGATGACCTGACTGATGCAAGATACAAGCGAATTTTATGGAAAGGAGTATTAGTTTTCCGCTCAAATATTAAACAAGTTAACAAGAGAACCGGTGCATCTCAACTATCTGACTTCCCCTGCCGTTTTACTTACCCGTTGCATTTGTGAATCTTAGCCAAGATGAGTTATACGTTACTTTTGACTTCTGGATGCTATGAGAAAAACCGCTTTTGCTACTGTATTGCACACGTCTGCCATCAGGTGGCGCAACTGGCTCACAGTATTACTTCCCTAGACGATATCATTCATATACCTGAATTCAGCTAGATCCCTAGTCATATATTTGAAGCTGCTTCTTCCTTATGGAATGAAATCGTTGTCTTTCTTAAGTCAAGAATGTTTCAAATGAGTAGGTCGCCAAGGGTGTTGAGCAGCAACTGTAATGATACATATCCATGACGCACAGCACAGTTGATGGAGGATCGCGTAGGTAATGCTCCTTCAGCTTGTAAAGCATATATGGTTCCTTAGTCTAGCTCGCGAAACGGGTATGCTGTGATAAACTCAAAATCATGCTCATTACTAGCCATATTCGGTCCACTGCTGGATAAAGGCCTCCAAGAATTTGCGATAATCTTGTTTTCTGCTGTTTTGATCCATCCGGATCTAGTGATTCTTCAGCTCGCCTTGCCATCGATCTGGAAACTTGACTACGGGCCTTTTATTCTCTCTTGCAACCAAGTCCAGTGTTTCTCTAATTCAGTGACGGTTGCTTCTGCTGGCAACATACCCTGCCCATTACAACTTTGCTTCTTTACTCAGGCGAAGACATCGCAGTCTCTTGTTTTTGCTCTCATTCATTCCCTTGTTCTTTCTATCCTACCTTTTATTGTTATTTTCAACACACACCTTTCTGTTTTGCGTTCCATAGCCTGCAGTTTATGAATAGGTTTGAGGCTTAATGTCCACGTTTTACTCCCATTGGTTAGCACTGGGAGTTCACACTGATCGAAAACTTTCCGATTCAAGTACAACGGCAGTTTCCCTTATTGGAATATTTTTAGTATTCCAAATATGCTCTGTGCCATTTTTATTCTTCTGTTCATTTCACCTAGTTGATTCTCCGTTGCAGAAATGGTCTGCCCCAAATAGACAGTTTTGCACCTCTTTAAACATAAGTTGGCTTCACCAGGTCGTGGGGTCACGTGTTTGTTGAACATGAACTGAGTCGTCTTCAGGTTCATTTTCAGACCACTTTATTGCTTGCGTCGTTAAGCTCTTGAATTCTTTTTTGGAGTTCTTCTGGTGGCCTTGAAAAGATCAGACTGTCGTCCGCAAACCGTTTATTTTCTCAACAGAGTTTCTTGTAAACAACTTCTAAAGCTGCGCTAAATAACTTCGGTAATATTTTGCGTCCTAGTCTCCCTTTTCGACTTTGAACTTGTTTGTGTTTTCGTGAGTCTTAATGGTGGCTGTTGCGTTCTTGCAAATCTTGACGATGAACTCCCTATACCTTTTCTCGATTCCTTGGCTCGTCAAGGAATCCAGTACAGAACGGATGAAGATTGAATCGATAGCCTCCTCGAAATTAACGAGCTACAGTCAGATAGGAAGCTGATATTCACTGCTTGTCTGAATTACTTGTTGTATCACCTGTAGATTGTGCATCGCACTGAATCCACTGTATGATGAATCATTTGCATTTGATGTGAACATAGTACTTCATAACATTTTAACATTTTCAAAATCATTCGACGTTCTATTGAATCAAATAAAGCGTTAAAGTTAAAAATGTTATCCCAAAGCCATTAGGGGTGTGTTGCTGTGCTATGATTTTACTAAGAATAAAAATTTGGTGAGAGCAAGAGCAGCACGCTGTCCAAAAGTCTGCTTTACATTTTGAGAAGTCACCTGTCAGCTCTTTACCTTAAGTTTAGCAGGATAATTGAGTAGAATGGTTTCTCGAGAGTTGATTGTGGCACGATCCCACAGTAGCAGTCAGTTGTCTGTTGCCTTTAAATGTTGTCATAGTAGCCCCACATTTCCACTGTCGAGAGAATTTTTTGAGGTCTGTCTGATGTTTGATCAAGGAAGTCATGGAGCTTTTCTGCCATTTCTATGTATCTGATTAATTTCGGATGAATTCGATCCTCATCTCAAGCATTCTTCAATTTATGATCTAATAAGAAATCTTGAATTTATTCCTTTGTAGATAGATCTGCATCAATCGCCAATCTCTAATGTAAGCAAAGAGTTAGTGATCAGAATAGGTTAGTTAATTTCTGATTTCTGAAATACAGTTGTTAAGTAACTGCTGAAAATGCGCAGCTTCTCTTTTGAGCCGATTTTTGATATGATGATGGCTTATGTGTTTGGTGTTTGTTAATGCCATGCAGAGAAATGCTTCTTTCAGCTTTCAGCATATACGCAGCTTACAACAGAAAAACAGTTATTTCAAAATACCTACAAAAAGCAAGAAGCAGGAGGAGGATTCATTAAGGTACAGATCAAGTGCGGTGACACTGATATTGTGTGCCTCTCAGTCCATGTTTTCGGGATGATGAAGTTTCCTTTTGTAGCGGAATGCTGAGAGTACCAGACTGTTAAATCTGGGTGAAGTGGGTAGATACTGACTTGCAATATCCGTTTAGCGAAGAAGACAGAGCTGTTTTGAACAGTCTGCACAGTGGAGTTGGCCATCAGACTGTACTGGAATCCTTTTGATCTTTCGATTGCCTTAATGCACCTCGCTGTAGAAGCGCAAACTCACCTCCCCTTAAGTTTCCAAAATAGACAGGAAAAGCGTAAGTGATAATTTGCGTTATTCTGCATTTTGTAAATGGCCAGCACATATTAAAGGGGGCTCGAAACAAGTTTGAACAGTGAGGGTATAAGTTAGCTTTCCTCACATTGTTGATGGCATAAACCGTATGATTAGGCCTTGTCATGTTATCCTGTCATTAACGAGTACAAGATACTTCGTCAAAGCTTCTAGAAGGCCTATTTAGCCTGTCTGTCGAGCCGGTCTTTTGATGTGGTAACGGCCGGTGTATGCATGAATCTGCCTGCCCGGTGCTGCGTTTTGAAATGGTGCTTTTCTGCCTGACTAACTTCGGATTGAGCAGCTCAGCGTCTGCATATCGATTCTCGACATTTCGATATTTCATTTGATATGCCCCGTGTGTGGTTCGAAAAGCCGTACATAACCAGCCATACATACATTTGCCAGCTTATAATCTGTTTGCATCATTGTGACTACCTGCTTTTCAAAATCAGGTCGTTTTTCTTCTCCTGAAACTGCGTTTGCTAGACGTTGCTCGCTTGCATCATCGAGGGTAGGGGGAGACAGTCTTCCAGCATTCTTGTTCAATTGTCTCTCTCCTGCTTCACAACGGTGTGACAGAATCTCGTTAAGCGTTATTTTCTTCCCTCAACAACTGTTTCGCACCCGTTACCGTTTTGCTACTTCGCCAGAAAGACGTGAAAGCAGATTCTATTTGCTCAGTTATCAAAACTGTCTCAGTCCCCAAACAGCATGTACGGCCTTTGGCAACCCTCTGTATGCGGGTCTTGTATATGAACATGTTCACTGTAATGTGCATAATGAATGGACGCTTGATCGCACTTTATCTGGCCTCTCGTCAAAAACCTGTTCA